ATTGATCAGCTGCAGTGTAAAAGCATCTAAAATCATTTTGTTTGCTAGAACAACCTCATGCATATCACAAACCATGTTTCAGCAGCCGTTGGTGTTTGCTGTTTATTGAGTTCATCACTCTGAGGCTAGCGTATGGTGTTTCTTGAGTGCATAACCTTGAGATGTTTGCACAGACAACAACGTTTAACCCGGAAACGGCACTCAACGACAAATTTCGCATCAAGACAGAAGTGGACATAATGTCTCGACAAGACCAATCTTCCTTTATTTCTAAAATGGTGATTCACAAGTTTCCCAAGTGATCGACCTTTTGCTACAGAAAATATCAGCCGTTTGGAAAATGTTGCTTTTTGTGTGATTGCAGAAACCATCACTTAGATCGATTCACATAAGAAGAAGTTTTCTTGCCTGTGATGGTCGTTGTATTCGCAGCTGTACAACACTGCCACAAACACCAATTACTGTATCGCACACACTGGAACGACTCGTCTCTGAAAGCAGATCTGTCTCTACGTATTTACTTCATGTAGGTTGCTGGCTTCGTGGTCAACGTCCGCCGTATATCAGTTCTTCCCAGGCAAGAATTTCCTCACTTCGACTAATTTGCCAACCTCCTTTTCTTAACTTTACCATCTAGCGAGTTCACCTGTGTCCGGAAGACAATAATCATTCCTTACGTTATCTTGACATTTAACTCTCAAAATAGATCGAAGCAAATGCTGTTCTGCGTCAAAAGCTATTACCATTTACAGAATCCGCAAAAAAATGAAATCAATTTGTAAATCAGGCTACGCTGACAGCTGAAATATTGCCTGAAACCAGATTTAATGGCGTATTGTACAGCGTCCCAATAAGTCGCACTTGGGTATATGACTGTTCTCGCTGAGGAGCAGGATTTCTTATACACTATCCTATTACCACCATTTTACAAATTAAGCATAAAGTAACTTAGCCTGTGTAGCGCCCCGCTAACAATCAAAAGATCAAAAAATTGGACTTCGAATCGAGGTTAGTCAAGTTCAGCGATAGACAAATAAAAATACCACTACCCAAAAAAAGAAACAGTACAATAAACGCTGTAGTGGAAACTATTGCTATCAGAAGTAAGCCTCTCATGGCAAATAACGTTGAAAAAACATGCACCACATCACGAGCCGTAATAAAGAAAACTGCCACAAATCGATCTCAAGTGTAAGGAAGAGCGATATCCCAAAGAAAACCCACCTTCTTTCGTCTGCCAACTTAAAACGCGTTGGAAAATGTTTCACCTTCGGGAATGGAACGAAATAAACAATAAAATTAATCACTGTCGAAAGTAAAGTAACACTAGGTTTATTAAACACAACTGATGCACAACAAGATGATAAAACGCAATCAACGCTTCGATAAACATAACTGAGCTTGTTCACTGAAGATCTTAACCGTATTCATCAATATATGATTTCAAGTCAAAAAACCAGGAACACTATGTTGTAGTCCTGTTCCATAAAGTGACTGAAGCAGAAACTTACAAACATCATACCAAATTCGGAGTGTTACCCTGAAGTCCGCACAAAATATTACAGTATTCAAAACAATCCACAGGTTCATGTATCCGACGTCAAAGTTCAGTACCTTACAAAATATGTTGACTAGTACACTGGATATGTTGCAGCCAGGTGGGTCATAGAGAAATACAGTATCAGGGAGTGAGGTGGAGTGCGTTTGCATAGGAAATAATTGCCGTACGTTCCTTCAATCCGGTTAAACGTAAGATAGCTGGCTGTGCCGAAGCAATTTGTGGTTAACTTCTGATCAACGGAATTTGTGAATAACACAGAATTGCCAGCTGATTCAAACCCGATGCTTAGAATTCAAACCCAACCTCTATATTACTGTGCCACATTGCACCCGTTATGTGAATTAAACTTAGAAAAGAACAGGAAAAGGAAAAAAAGAAAAGAAAGCTACCAATTTTTACTGTGATATATACAGCGATGGTATCGATAGCTCCCTCCAGAACATGGAGGTCCATTTTGTCATTCTTTCTCCTACGGATCTTCGCAAAGTTCTTTATTTGAACATACGTCTGTTCGAGACGCAATCCCGCGTTCTATGTATTGCGGGATCTAGAGTACCGGGGAGCACTTAGCTGCTTAAATGGCCCTTTTAAGCGCCTAGAAGCTAAAGTCGGTGCAGTGGGCTGCTGGCGTAAAATGAAAAATTAATTTTTCTTTATTTACACTGTGCATTTGCCATTTCAATCCGGTATCCTTATTTTTACTGTGAAAGCTATTGCTTTATTCAGGAAGGTTCTGTTCAATCGTGATAGAATTTTGAAAAGTGCGCTAATTACATTAATCTATGAATAAAATTGTCCTGTTATGAATAAACATGACTTGAAGCGTTATACCCGCTTTGGTTTTAGACCTATATTGGCTAGTTCATTAAACGTAACTTTGCCACTTTGGTCAGACTTGAATCACTATATTTTGCTGCTGGCTTGAACATTACAGACTAAAATCCGCTTCATCACAGTTTTTAAAATATTTTGACTTTACCGCTGTTTCCAAGAATGTGACAATAGCTTTTCGTTATTGCTTGCGGCACCTTCTAAGCACACTCTTTGGTTTCTTACATGTGGTCGTTGTTGGGGTTATTCGTCAGCACTATTTTTCTAATTTTAATGTCGCCTTTCTGTACTCCTGTAAATGCTACAGTGCTAGAATAAAATCATTTAAACATTAAGCAAGCCATATTTTAAACCATTTATTGCAGATGCGTTATATTCGATTAGATCCTAAGATCGAATTGTTTAACGTTCCAATGGCTGTTTTGGAACGTTAGCAGGAGGGACTTAGTCGCAAAATGCAAATGTAAATATAGCATTAAGTCCTGCGACTGCGACGTGGGGGAAATATCTTTTGCAGATATAATGAAAGTGAAGTGGACAGAAAGTTTCCAAGATCTAGGAACAAAATCCACAAAGAATCTTGCCTTTGAAGTG